TCTCTCTCTCTCTCTAATAAATAAATAAATAAAATTAAAAAAAAATTTAAATAAAGTCATATCTCAACTCTCCTCAATTCAATGTCACATATTTTACATTTAATGTCAATTTCTTATATTTTATTGATTTATTTTTTAATGTATTTGGTTGTTACAGGTTCTCACTACACAGCTCAGACTTGTGTTGATCCTCCTGCTTTCAGCTTCCCCAGCACTGGGATTACAGGTTTGTGCCACTATGCCTGGCCTCTATGGCCATTTTAGCCCACCCTGGGGGGAGGGCTGGCATGACATGTGGTGCCAGGGATTAAACCACAGTTCCCATGCTTGCCGAAATTTGCCTAAGCAGGCACTTTAGACCATTGAGCTATCTCACTGGACCCTAATTCTTATATTTTATATGCATTCTTTATTTTTCTGATTATAATAATTTTTTCTCATTGTAGAGATTCAAAATCTTCAAAAATAATTTAAAATCTATGACTGTATAAGTCTCTTCTAATTACTAAAGATCTCTTCTGAAACATTGTTTCTTTTTTAATTAATTTTATTGAGAAAGAAATAGCATAATGAGACAGTTTCAAAACAGGTTAGTAGGACAGTTACAATAATTAATACATTGCATATTGTTGTCTTTGTAGTAGTTATTCATAGTACAAGATGCACACATGATATCTTGTCTAAACATTTAGTACAAATCTTCTCATTGAACTAAGAGAAAGTAGCTGTATATCTATCCTAACTATTTTGTATATACAGATATATATTTTTTCACTACAAAATGGTCCTTCATTTATATCCCCCTTTTTTGTTTAGTTTTGTCAGAGATGGGTATTCCATTGCCATTCAAACATCGTAGGTGCATGAATTCAGAAAAATATTCCAATATAGTCCAGTAGTCCATAATAGTAGTGGGTTATCCGTAGGACTGGCAATGTCAGAAGTTGTTGACTGGAGCCTTTTACAGCTCAGTCTATTAATATGGCTTTCCTTTTTATACCTCGTGTTTATACTTTTCTTTTGATGGTTAAGACCAAGATAAAGCAAGACCTATGCAACAAGAGTTGTAGCTTTTGGGTCTGATAAGGTCAGTCAAATCCCCTCGGGATTTATCCTGAGATCCTGTACCTCAGATTGTAGAACCTTTGTCAGTGTCAGCCAGGTGGATGAGTCATGGCCATTGCTTGACCAGTTTGCTCTCTGTGAAAACCTGAGAGAATATTTTCTCTCTAGGTGATTCTCCTTAGGCACACTCTACATCATTGATCACTTTCCTCTGTGACCCCATAATCTCCTTGAACAGAAATTGGGATAACACTGAGTTACAATATATGTTGATTCCTGTGAACTAAGCAACTGCACTGAGGATAGCAATGTGTAATACTAGGGCCATGCTTGGTATGCCTGTCATTCTGGTCTTCTAAATGTATACTACTTCTAATGTCATATCAATTACTGCGATACTCTCTCTCAAGTAAATGTTTAAAAAAAGATAAAACAAGAGAGAAAGAATAAAATGTTATATGACTGTTCTGCTACAATGTTGTATATGGTTAGCACCACCAAAAAAGAAGGAAAGGGCCTTTGACCCCATTTTAATAGTTTTCTAGAAAATGTTGGAATGCAGAATGCAGATTCTTGGACCCCCTCCTAAGCAATTCCAAAAAGGATATAGGATCTGAGAAAGGCCATACCTGCCCTATTTTTGAGAAATGTCAGGATTTCTTCCTCTGTGATAATACTTTCTCCTTCTCTGGGTTGAGTTATCTTCTGCATTCTATCTAGATACTTCCCTATGGAAGGAACTCATTTACAAACGTCTGTTTCAATTTGGCCCTGTCAAATGGAATTCAAAACATTTTTTCTCCTCAAAATATGACAAGTATAGTACAAGGCTTGAAGCTTTCTGAAGTTGGTACTAAAGTAGGAGAGCACTTCTATGTTTATTGTGATGATTAAATGAGATAATAAAGAATTCAGAAGTGCCATAGAGAAGTGTATGGCCTGTTGAATGCTCCCAATTAGAGACTAGCTTGTAAAGAGTAAGTATTCAGTATCTGTTCATTAAATACATAAAATAATTTAGTGTTCTTCTGTTCACCACCTTCCCCCAGCCAAAGCTTTAAGCCAATCAACTCCTCCCTGAAGCTTTCTTAAAATAGCTCCACCTCTGCCCTGAAGATTCAGCTGAGTACACTCTTGGTTTTACTCTACCAGTTGTGGCTTTGATCCTTTCATCACATTGCCTCATAAAATATGTGTTCATGCCCCAGGCCTCTCCCTTCCTTCCTTGAAGCATTTCCTGAAACGTGACCTACTCCTTGGAATCTTCTTTAAGTAGAACTGAACTCATCATTCCATCTTGCTTGCAACAAATAAGTTAAAGGTTGCTGTTGTTCGAGGTTCCAAAGCTGTAAATTGCCTGAGCTTCTCACTAGCTGTATGGGTCTCAACATTGCACGGCTGGCTTAATTTATTCCTTCGCCTGCATTTAATAATTTGAGTCAAAGAGGGGAAAAAAGTGCTTGTTTAACTTGCTCTGTATACATTTACACAGTACCACTCCAATGGATGCCGAATAAATATGACTTGATGATTTACGCATTTTGTCCATGCCAAGAATAGAAAATGTGAACTCCTAAAGCTGTTTCCTCAGTCACCAAGTTTAAATGTCTCACAATTCTAAGACTTATAAGACTGCTCTGTGCACTTACTTTCACAGAAGAATAGACACAAAAGTAAGGAGTTGTTGGGCATGGTAGTACAGACCTATAATCCCAGCACTCTGGATTATAGGCCAGGAAAATTCTAAGTTTAAACACAGCCTGAGTTGTGTTTAGTAGCTTAGTAAGATCCTGTCTCAGTTTTTTAAGAAATTAAAATAAAACAGGTCTGGGGATGTAAGTCGCTGGAAGATTTTGAGTTCAATCTCCAGTACAAAAAAGAGAAGGAAAACACTACATAAAAATAGCAAATTAAGAAAATTATTTTTCACATTGTAAATCCAAAACTACTTTTTGAACAATAGTACTTTACATTAATAGATATCTCATTTAAAGTTTGGTTGTATATGCCTTATGGGTTATTTTATAAATCTAAAATGGATAAATCAAAATATGTCAACACTCATTTTTAAAATACTTGTTGTATTCGACGCATGCACCATTATGGAGAACTTACACTCAGAGCAAAAAGATTTGTAGCAAAGCATATGACCTTCTTCCCACTACAATGACCATCCCCTAATTAGGCAATGCATCTGATAGTCATTAACAGGAATGAGATAATGAATCACTTTCTCTCTTCTTTGTTAATTTGCTGTAACCAAGCGGCTAATGGATGTCAGAGCTGAGTGATTGCACTGATTATAGTGATTTATAGTTGCAACAAAACAATTTAAAACCATTCTGATTATTCATGTTAAAGATGCTTTATGTTTTGTTTACTAAATGTTTTATGTCCCCCTTTCTCCCATCCCTAAAGTACGGTCTCCCTCCTACCATGCCACTTTTCATGAAAAGACTTCTTCCTAGAAATCTTGAAAGTTGTAGGATTTTTTCTTTATTGTTTTAAGCCAAGCCATTTCCTTTTGTTTATATATAGATAGATAAAGTTTACCCTCTAGAAATGAAAAGCCTTAGGGTGGAAAGAAAACTTCAGTGGTGCCTAGTTCAAAAGAAGACAGAAATAAGAGGAAGTAAGGCAAACTTCAAGCCACTTACCTTGGGGCTTCCAGTCCCTTCCTCATCCTCCACAGACACATCAGTAGCCAGTATCTCGGCTTTGATGGTATCCAGAGCTCTGAGAATCCAGCTGTGCTGCCGTTTGATTTGCCTGTGCAGCTCCTTCCATTGACTCGCAATCATCTGCAGCATGTCCTTCAGCCCTTCGCCAAGAGGAGGGGAAAGCACAAGTTGTGGGCCCGACTGCGCCTTTAGCTAGTTTTATTATTTATAAATTAAGTGACTATTCCAGATAATATGCATAGTGTAAGTGATTTTTGCCATCACCTACCATACTAGCATTTGTTACTCAGAATAGAGACTGGCAATTCCTGACACAAGATGAGGACACAGTAACAGGATAAACATACACACTGAGTGGAAGGGAAATAGACTGAGTATGCTGACTGAAAATAAGTGCATGTGGAAGAATAATCAAAGTATACAAAATTTATTAAAACTGTACCTTCAAATTCTAAGTAAAAGGTCCTGTGTGTGTATGTGTAGAGACTTTATAATAATCAGAAAGATATATAAAAATAAAGTTAATTCAATGAAAAATACAGGAAACGGACCAGCATTAAGACAGCAGTTTTTTAACACAACCAATTAGTGCTACGATTTTCCTATTTAAATACAGAAAGCTCGAAGAGTCAAACTATAACTCATCTTGTCATGTGGTCTTCTACTACCAGGATACGTATAACCAAATGATAACGCTTTTATTTATAATCTGTTCTTTATAAATACGTTAATATTGGGATATGAATTGTTTGGAAGCCAAAAACTCTGCTAATGGAAAGATCAGCAAAGAACATGCAAAACCTTCATGTGTGTAAATTGGCAGGGAAATAATCAGATATCTCTAGTCTCCTACCTTATATCTGTAATGATATCTATAAGTGCTCTAATACATATGAATTATAACTCCATGAACAACTGTCGTTCATTATCTTAATGTTATTTCCAGAACACCTACATCAGAAAGCATGTCAGTGTGAAGTTTTGGGGGATGTGAATTCAATTGAAGCCCAGGCGAACAGCAAGCCCAAAATAAAATGAACAGACCATTTGGAGGCAGTATTTCATCTCATAAGTATCAGAGCATTGTGTGCAGTATATGAAACATTTATAAATCTTGAAGGTCAATCTGATAATGTAAATATTAATAATACATAAGGAAGTGAATATATGCAGTAATTTACAGCAATGCCTCTTCATTCTTAATAGTCTGGAGACATAAAGACTTGCAATATTTCAGGAGGATTTACCTGCTTTGTGAGATGCAATAAGCTCCAGAAGTTGATGTCCTTCTTCCTCCACAGCTTCCTTGAGAGCACAGTGACTATCAACATTCAACTTAAAACTCTGCAAAGAGAAATATGAGAACCAGACCCTGGTGAGGCAGGTATGTAGAAAACATCCACACAAAATTACTTGCTCCTTTTTATCAAGAACCATACAGCCCTATTTACCCAATAGACAAACTAATTTGCAATACTAAAAGCTATTGATATTTGGGATCTGGGCTCAGAATGTTTCCATTAGATTAGCAGAATGCATCTGTTTGGAAACAGCTGACAAATCTAGAAATTCATTAGGTTTTTATGAAAAGTCACATCCCGTAGGCTATATCAAGAGCAGCAGTGTTCTATAAAACACACCGAATTCCTACCAGCACATATGAACTCTTTTCTTCGTTTTTATAGAAATGTTAGTGATAGAACTATTTATGAAACCATAAAAAATTGGCAACAGAAAATATATTACCCTTATGTGTGCATATATAAATCTATTCATAGAGGAAGGTTTGATCCAGCTGTCTCAGTTAGCACACAACCCACAGAATATAGAGGTGAATTTAGGTACTGTATGGAGCCAACTCTGTTTCAATTTTTTACTTTTAAAATCTTATTTAAAATAAGTCATTGCTTTATAAATAAATATATCAAGTACATCAGGGCATTATCTCTTATGATAGTTACCCAGATGACAAAAACTATTATTACTACAGTTGAAACCTAACCCAGAGTTATCTCTTTAAGGAAGCCTTCCCTAATGTCCTCTGTAGTTATTTCTTTTTCTGCCCCTTGTACATGCTTTCATTAGAGAATTCATCATAATGTATACTGCTTTATTTCCCTTTGGCTTCCAAATTGTAAGTACTGTACTTATTATTACCAGTGTCACATATATCTCTAACTCATGCCACATACAAGGTATTTGACAAATGCTTGCAAACATAGTTGACATCTGTTAAACTTGATGAATAACACTCTCTAAAAGAGAAGTTATTATTTAAGAAACACAGATGGTTTTCCAAAGGCTTTTTCCATCTTGAATGTTACAAGGAATTTCACCCACAGAACGTCCAATGGAGAGTAATCATAGTAAGCAACATGTTGAATAGTTAGTATTCAGGATGAAAACTCAGTCTTTGACTTGAATGACTGGAATAAATATAGATTTTTAAAACACTGTGTGCCAAACTTTGGCTTCTCCATGCTAAAACTCCAAAATATTCTATATGTTTTGCTCTTATTAAACATTCTATAGAAGTTCCAAATGAGTCACAGGTGGAATGTAAATTGGATTAAAGAAATTGTGAAATCAAGTAGGCATTCATTCATTCACTTAGAAATCACAGATTAATGCCTGTTCTGTACACTGACTCAGGCTATTATGAAGGTTGGGCACTGGCACCAAAGGGCAACTGTACACATGATTGGGAGAATAAGGTGCAACCTGAGCTATGTTGTGTGCCCTATGATGAGTTTGAGATCTCCTTTTCATTATAAAGAGAAGAAATCTTTTATTTTTATTTTGTCTTAATTTTATTTTATCTATTCATTTTATTTATTTATTTATTTATTTATTTATTTGTATTTTAGGGAAGGGTCTACAGGGTGTTCAGGGTTTCACTACTAGATCAAACTCATACTGATCCACCTGTTTCCAGCCTCCAAAGAGCTGGGATTACAGGCATGCGCCACCACGCCCAGTCTCAATTGCCCTCTCAGCACACCCCTGGGGCAGGGCCGGCACTGCAGGTCCGAGGATTGCACCCACCCATTCTAAAACCTCCCCCCCCACCACCACCCCTGCGCCTGCTTGCAGCTGCTTTAATCCGCTGAACTATTTGGCTGACCTAAAGAGAAGAAATCATTTAAAAAGTAAAAAAGACAAGAAAAAAATAAAGGTTTATTGAAAGCAAGTGTTAATATTCAATGATTGGTACCATCTTGCCTAACTATACCTGTTAATCTGAGCAACAGATTTGATGATAAAAATAGGTAATACAACAACCATTTTTAAAAAATGCATTCAGTACAGGGTGTACAGGGTTTCACTACACAGATGAGACTCATAGTGATCCTCTTGTTTTCAGCCTTCCAAGTGCTGAGATTACAGGCACTCAATGCCACACTCAATCTCAGTCCCTGTCTCAATGTGGTCTGGAGGGGGGGCTGGCACTGCCTGCTGAGGATTGAACCCAGTCCCTGCGTAAACTAACCATTGTTAATTTGCTGTTCTTGTTTCAAAAATCTGTAACATATGTATTGTTGTATATTACCCTGTTTCTGACTTTGTTCCTGCTATTTGTTTTTGCTTTTGTTTTTACTCTTCAAAATAAAATAAACTTTTCAGATGGTGGGCACCACAGAGGAAACACCATCAGTCTCTTCTGACTGCCATCATGTCTAAGTCAGAGTCTCCCACGGAGCCTAAACAGCTGCAGAAGCTCTTCATCAGAGGGCTGAGCTTTGAAACAACTGATGAGAGTCTGAGGAGCCATTTTAAGCAATGGGAAACACAGACTGCGTGGTAATGAGAGACCCAAACACCAAGTGTTCCGGGGCTTTGGGTTTGTCACTTATGCCACTTTGGAGAAGATGGATGCAGCCATGAATGCAAGGCCACACAACGTGGACAGATGAGTTGTGGAACCAAAGAGAGCTGTCTCAAGAGAAGATTCTCAAAGACCAGGTGCCCACTAACAGTGAAGATCTTTGGTGGTGGCATTAAAGAAGATATTGAAGAACATCATCTATGAGATTATTTTGAACAATATGGAAAAATCGAAGTGATTGAAATTATGACCTGACCAAGACAGTGGAAAAAAGAGGGCTTTGCTTTTGTAACCTCTGATGACCATAATTCTGTAAGATTGTCATTCAAAAATACCACACTGTGAATGGCCACAACTGTGAAGTGAGGAAAGCCCTGCCAAAACAAGAGTTGGCTAGTGCTTCATCTAGCCAAAGAGCTCGAAGTGGTTCTGGAAATTTTAGTGGTGGTCGTGGAGGTGGTTTTGGTGGCAATGACAGTTTCAGTCATAGAGAAAACTTTAGTAGTCAAGGTGGCTTTGGTGGCAGCCATAGTGGGGGTGGATACTGTGGCAGAGGAGATGGCTACAATGGATTCATTAATGATGGAAGTAATTATGAAGTGGAGGAAGCTATAATGAATTTGGCAATTACAACAGTCAGTCTTCAAATTTTGGACCCATGAAGGGAGGAAACTTTGGAGGCAGAAGCTCTGGGCCCTATGGTGGTGGAGGCCAGTATTTTACCAAACCATGAAATCAAGGTAGCTATGGTGGCTCCAGCATCAGCAGTAGCTATGGCAGTGACAAAAGGTTGTAAACATCTCCAGGAAGCAAAGCTTAGCACAAGAGAAATGCCAGAGAAGTGACAGGGAAGCTACAGGTTACAACAGATTTGTGACCTCAGCCAAACAGTGGTGGCAGGGCCTAGCTGCTACAAAGAAGACATGTTTTAGACAACACTCATGTGTATGGGCAAAAACTCAAGGACTGTATTTGTGACTAATTGTATAACAGGTTATTTTAGTTTCTGTTCTATGGAAAGTATAAAGCATTCCAACAAAGGGTTTTTTAACGTAGAACTTTTTTTGTACCCATGCTGTTGATTGCTAAATGCAATAGTCTGATCATGATGCTGAATAAATGTGTCTTTTTTTAAAATGTGCTGTGTAAAGTCAGTCTACTCTGAAGCTATCTTGGTTAACATCCCCAACAGTGTCAAGTCAGAAATCCTTCAGGGTGATGCCAGGTTCCATTTAAAATTTCTTTACAATTGCTTGGTTAAAGAAGTCATTGTCTTCAGAAACCTTGGTGTAGTTGAACTAACAGTTACTGTTGTGACCTCTGAATTTGACCAATGAAAAGGTCACCCAAGCAGTCAGCTACTTGGTTATAAAAATGATTGTTGGCACATCCTATATATCTAAATTGAATAATGGTACCAGATACAATGATAGATGGGATTAAAGCTATGTATCATCCATTATCATGTGTAATCAATAAATGGTTTAATTCTCTTGAATGGAAAAAAATTAACTTATTAAAAAAGTGAAGATAGAAACAGAATGATCAAACTAACTTGGAAATGAAGATGAGAGGAACATGCAGATTAGGGCTTGAAGTAAAAAGATAAGAGTTTTGGATAATGGCTGGCCAACTAGCTCAGCAGATTAAAGCACCTGCAAGCAGGCACAGGGACAGAGGGTTCAATCCCTGGGACTGCTGTGCTAGCCCCGCCCCTGTGGCACACTGAGATGGCAATTGAGACTGGGTGTGGTGGCGCATGCTTGTAATCCCAGCTCTTGGGAGGCTGTAAACAGGTGGATCACTATGAGTCTAATCTAGTAGTGAGACCCTGAACACCCTGTAGACCCTTCCCTAAAATATAAGAAAAAGAATTTTGAATAAAAAAGTTTATATTATGAATCTCTTCAGCTGATTTTGTCTTTAATTATAATAACATTTCAGTCCAATATGACAGAAGGTAACAATTTTAGATTTCCCTATGGGTTGTTCACCATTTCCTGTATTGTTCTTTCTACTATAGATATTTGGTTGAATAAAGTAAAATATGGCAATGTATGGGAAGCCTGAAGTTTCTGGTCAACCAAAATAATATTGTATATATGGAAAGTTAATTTTTTAATCAAAACATGGTTGCATTTATGTTTTGTCACTACCATAAAAATACTTAATACTTAGCAGAATGAGGTACATTTGTGCTTGGTGGAAAAGAAACAGGAAAAACAAAAACACCTAAGATCAACACAAGAGCACCAGCATTTGGGGAGAAGCCTATCCTAGAAACATCTTCACAACTATAAAGTTAGCTTAGCACTCCCTTTGATTTACTGTTTACTTACAACAGACTTGAGTTGAATGGTTGGTGATCATAAGCTACAGGTGCACCAGGCAATATTTCAGAGGGGGAAAAAAACCCTAAGAACCTGTAAGTAAGTTGAATAATTGATGTAATTGGAGCCAAAAGTATAGAATAGATGCAGCTGGATCCGGCTCTACTTCAAAATGATGTGGAAGCATT